GCAACTGTTCATCCAAATGCTGTTTATACAAGTAGATTATTGAATTTTACAAATCTTCCTCAACCTGTAAATTCCAACAAAGTTACAATTATTAGTAATAATAATGGTAATTATCTAATTTATTGTTATATTTAATCTTAATTAATGATATTTTAAATTATATATTCTAAATTATAAATCAATATTATAGAATCTAAACAAATTGAATTAACTATGCCAGATTCCAAACAAATTGAATTAACTATACCAGATGATTTTATGAATAAATCTCATTATTGAAATTTTCAGATTAGTTTTTTTATTATTATAAGTGTTATATGGTGAACAAACATCTCTTATTATTATCAAAAAAAATTTTTTTAATGATTATATGCTATCTATTTTAAATTAAAATAAACCTTCCTTGTAATTTAACCTGATTGAAGTGATTATTTAACTCATTGATTCATAGATGGATTGTCAATTAACATTCTTTTTTTCAATAATAAATAGTTTCCAACATACAACACCTACTCCAAACAAATTTATTCTTTGATTCATACACAAATTGTCAATTAAAAATTCACTAAACAAGTTCATGCAACAGATTTATACCAAAAAATCAAAACATGATAAAATTTTTAGATACAGTTTTACATACATTACCTATTGCTAGAGGTTGGAATCGACTAAAATAGTCGACTAATTTAGTCAACTAACTTTTTTTTTAAACAACTAATAATCGACTAATATTAATTATTATTATTGTCTGGCCAATTATAAATGAAAACGTTTTTTGTGGTACAAAAAAATTTAAAAATAAAAATATGCGGAGTATCAATATTATGAAGATGATAATGGTGGTGTTGGTGCTGGTGTTGGCGATAATTATCCATGCGAAATAATAAACATTGATACAAGGTCAAATCATTCCAACAATTCGTTGGCTTCGAGCTCAAGCAGTGGTTCCAGACCTTTAAAAAAACGAATTATAACATATAGCTTCGTATGGAAGTATTTCGAGAAAATTAAATATTCAAATGGAGATGAATTTGTAATCTGCAAATTAAAAAAAAACGTTAATAATAATGAAACAGAATGAATATTTTAATTAAATAGGATGTTATTCCCGTGACTAGTGTGTGACCATTTTGCGAAGCAAATGGTTACACGCTAGTACTAAAAAAATTTAGTCGACTAAGGATTTTTTTGGACGATTCCAACCTCTACCTATTGCAACCGTAAATGTTGACTGCTTTATTCAAACTTTGTTGTGAATATTTTGTAAAATGTATAAATTTTAAACAACAAATGTGAAACAGCTAAAGAAATTTCAGGCAAAAAAAATTTTTTTGGATTTTTTTTTATTGGTATCATTATTAATACTTTTGTAACAAAAATTACTTATTTTTTTAAAATAGAAACTGAGTCATCAGAAATTGAAGAACTATCTTATACCCAAATATCAACATCCACTTCTAACAAACAGTCTTTAATTGATAATTATATTTTAAAATCTTTGTCTAAAAAGATAATTCATATTTTGAAACCTAGTTATGGATTGTCATTCCTATTTATAAAACCAAGAAACTAAAGATTTATTTATTTATTGTTATTAAATTTACTTTTCCAGTTATAAAGTTATCTTGTTGACAAGCAATGAGTGATCAAATTTTACCCTAATCAATTAATTTGTTAGCATAATCAAACTATCATATCAGCTAGCAATGATAAATTTGGAATGACTATTGCCCTAGATGGATGGTAAATATAAAACAATAACATTTATTGTTGTGTCAATTGATGAACCTCTTGTTTGAGTAACAAGGGTGTTAGTGATCAAAGGTCAAAAAGGAGGATTTTATAAGTTATATGAAGAAGATAATGCTAGATACTGAAGAAAAAAAATTTAAATCAACTGTTCTCTGCTGGGGTGAAGAATTATGTTGCTGCTAGGTATATTTGAGATTCAAAAATCTGATAAAAAATTATTAGTTTAATATTAATTACCCACCACCTAGGAAGTCATGTGAGTAGAATATCTGATTTATTTACCATGCACATTTATGAGAAGACTGTTGGCTATTTCCATTCATCATCTGAAGGTATAATTTTTAAATTTATTTAAATGTAAAATTTATGAATCACCTGATAAATTCATTTGTAGAATAAAAATTTAATTTGAATATGGCATTTAAAATTGATTTCTAAATGGCCCAAATGAC